ATCACACAATTTTACTCTCTGTGCTCCAATACAAAAAAGCCCTGAAATTTTTAAACAAGTTACCACAATATAACTACCTGAGATACAACCCCGAATTGAACATAAAATAATACTACAAAGTGTTTCAAATGAGGAAGTCCCCATGTATGGCACCTTACCTTGGTACTTGGGCATTGCAATGGTAAATGTAGTTAAAAATAGTATCATCTGAAAGCATACTGGAAAACTTTCTTTGAAAGTCAGGCCTGAATTGGCGCACCAGTGAAGGACCTGTGAGTTAAAACAAATCAAATGAATTCACATTGGGGGAGACTTTTATGGTACACATCCACAAGAATGGCCTGTCAGGTCAGCGCAAATATCTACTCTTTGACGCCCATTTTGGGAATAATGGCAGCCGTCACAGGGTTACCCTCAACATTTATTTGCTGGTAATCACTTAATATACTTCTGGGTAGATAGAAGCAATATCAGAGTGAAGTATCTTCACTTGCCCAAGAATCCAGCCAGTGCTGGTGTGATGTCTATTCTAGTCCTAAGAACTGAAGGAGCAAGACAGTGCACTTATTGTCTAGCTCTGACACTAGCTTACTTCCAGTTTCTGCATAGGCCCACTAGGTGGAGGGGGGCAGGAGCTCGGGAGAATAGGGGACAGGAGATGGGAGACGAAAGGGCGGCGAGCAGGGGTTCTAAGACGGCAGGAAGCGGGATAGAAATGCAAAATGCTAATTTTTGTCATTCATTAGGTGTTCACAAATACTTTCAAAAAACAAGAACTCAATGAAAACGTTATTTGACTTGCATTTGGCATCGTTGGAGACTTCTGGGCTGATGAGCAAATGAAATTTGCCATTTGCCTAGAAAACTGGGGCTTACTTCCCGTAAAATTGGAAACCCTTTGAAAGCGGTTACATCATAGGTCATGAAATGTTGTCGCTTAAGTTGTCAAAAGGTGCGAGTAAGACGAACAAGGCTGAAAACAAAGGAAAAGGAAATGCCTAAGGATTGAGCAGCTAAATAATAATGATTGACTAGGATGTGTTTTGAGTCTCCTTATTTACAGCAGACAGGAGCAGGGGAAGTCAGGGGATAAAGGTACGGGAAGCAGGAGGTTCTGACCCCCCTAGCCTGTCCTCCCCCAACCACTAGCAGTTTAGCTTCTCCTCCAGACCTGCCAAGACAATCTTGCCTGGTATCCAGCAAAAAATATCAAACATAATTGACACTTATGGTTTGATTTAGCCCTCTTACTCCACATATGTATACACCATTACAGGGGCATACAAAATATACAAACATGTATCTGTATATTTTGAATACCCCAGTGAGGGTGTGTACACAATGATGTAAACATACACATTCAATACTTACCCCAAGGACCAGCGGCACGCAATCCTGCCAGTGGATTAAAAGGGCTTAAAACAGCTCCTAAAAACTTAACCCACACTGGAATATGTCTATTTATATTATCTTCAGTGGGTTTAACAGGGAATCCCCAAGGATCAGCTAGAATCAGATGCTGGATTCTGGAGGGGTACTTGAGGGCATAGGAACTTGCTAAGAAGCCACCAAGGCTGTGACCTAAGAGAACAAATTTGTCCAGTCCGATCTGTTCCCGCCATTTCTCAATGGAGTCCACAAACTGCTCTTCGGCTTCGCCTGGATCTGTGCTTAGCTGTGGTCGCGAGCTGCGGCCAAATCCCAACATGTCGAAAGCATACACAGTCCTATTCTGAGAAAGGGTGTCGACATTCATCGCCCACAGACCCACACCTCCTCCAAACCCATGAATCAAGACTAGCGGCACTCTCTGAGCCCTTGGATTGAATCTTAACGTCCATATCCTGTGTCCATTTCCCAAAGGCACAAATTCACTTTCATAAGCCGATCGAGTTTCTAGGAGACAGGAAAAAGGGAAAAGTCGAGATGCAGGCATGCTCTTTGATGGTTGTCGAGAGGCTAAACATTCGATCATATCTCTCTGATGTGAAATATCTATTCTGATAAATAAATATTCGCGACAACAGACGTGTGGATTTTAGTCACATGATTATGTAATGCACGACATCGTTTATCGATAATGGCTACCCTGTGAAGGAAAATAACTCTAAACTGAGATCTCTACAATGTTACAACTTTGGAAAAATACAAACGGAGTAATTACAAATGCTTAACCGCAGAACGATCAAAGATCTATGAAAATGTCACCTTTCACGATGTTTATTTCGATCGTCTCGATAACGGAATTTGTGTAAGTTACACGTGTTTGGTTTTAAAAAAAATATATTACAGTCCAACAGGAAACACTCACTTTCTAATATTTGAGACTCGGCGATTTCCAGCAATTTCTCAGAGGTTGGACACCAACTGAACCAGCCAGAAAACCAATTCGCTCCTCCCTCGTCAGTGCTGTGAAAGAAAATAAGCCTACATGACGCTAACATTTTCAATCTGCGACTGAAAACCTACTACAAAATCGGAGAATTTGTTGACAGAGGGCTTAAGTGAAACACTGGATCATACTCATACCCTTGGTCTTCCGTTTCTTGCATGTTTTCAGTGGAAGCTAGTCGAATTCCTTGTCACCTTCCCCTCATACTCGTGTTGTTTACAAATATATAGCTTGCGCCGGTTGCGGTCTTTTGTCGTGTCGTGCAAATTTATGCTATGTTACGTCACGCGAAGTACAACACATGCGCCCTTGACCTTGAGTGTACTCTTGATTGACAAGCGAATGACAGCTAGGTCAATAACTGGGCAAAAAGAGGCGGGAAAGGTTACAAATTATATTTCTGTGCCAATAAGGGATATTTGTAGGTGTCCAGTTAGTCAATTTAGTCTGCCTACTGGACTTTGGACCTCTGTATGACTTTAGAATTTGCACCGTTTGCCAGTCACACGATACCAATTGTTTTTCTGTGCACAATCTACGACGAATATTTGGAAATAAATAAAACCTTTTCAGGGACCTAGATGTTGAAGTCAGGCCAAAATTGCGTTTTTTCGCAAAATGTTATTTTAGAGTTATAATTTCAGTTGTTGTTATAGTGACGGGAAATGCCGAGAGAGTATTCGTCAAGTAATTCGATAAGTTGTTCGGTGAAGCAGGGAGCCCTCGAAAAAACTGGTTGCCACAACTGTTCCAGGGTTAAATCTATGGACCAGTCTCAACGATATCAACAAACATAAAAATAACAACATAAAAATAAAATAAATAAAATAAAATAAAAAATCATTTCAAGGCCTAGCTCGCTGAGGTCGAGCACTATTCGTGAGCCTGCTCAGGTTATTTGAGGTACGTAACTATATGTTAAGCGACGTGTAACAGTATTAACCATACCATTAAACGTCGGACGATATGAAGTAAATAAAAAGAAGAAAAAGTAACAGCGCGATGAAAACCCGGGATGCACGCCGCAGAAAATTCTTTCTCCATGCACTCTTAGGATATGTTCACGCTTGATGCCCAAGTTCGATTCTCGTTGGGCGCTAATGGGAAAACACCTCTTTTCCAAGTACTCAAACCAGAATTAGGGCACAGGCACTGTGGCCGGGTACAAGGTTTCGACCTTGTACTGGGGTACTAGATGGTACTTGACTACTTGGAGCGCCAGTGTTTGAACGCAACACTATTTTTTGTCGGTGTCCAGACACCAGTGTTCGGGAACCAAGGGTGCCGATCACAGCCTTACACTGCTGTCCGAAATAAATTTCGCCGCCCGATCGAACACGAATGTATGCTTGCCAAACCTGAAGTGATTTCACAGTGATTTTTGCTGATTTCGAAGGGACTTTTTGTGTTTTTATCGGTGGAGGCCGTTTCCGTGTTTTCTCAGTTTCTCCTGTTTTTAATTGTCCGTTTTTTGGGGCCGGAAAAGCAGCGTGCGGAAACAACCTGCTGGACTTTTGTAATAGGATTAAGTTTTAAAACGATCGCCTCCATGTAATTTTTACACCTGAGGCCAGGCAGGGGTCAGAGTCTACATGCAGCCTGAAAGTCACAAGACAATCATTTACCATCCCGTACAACGATTTGTTTTGTGTGAAGCAATATATCACATATCATATTTCTAATTCCGAGCTAGTTTCTGGTACCTTGTGGCACTAAATTTTTGCCGGAGTTTATTTTTGCGAATCGACGATACTTTGTTTGTTTGTTTGTTTGTTTGTTTGTTTTTGCGGAAACTATTTTTGCAATTGTAAAAGAGTAGTTTTTCTTGCTGGGTATTAATTTTGCGATTTTCGGACGTCGCGTTTAATTGAAATTGAAACATTTTCGCGTTTTGAAATTAGACCGCGTACAACTGACAAGTGAAACAACATGTAGAGATGTAAGACACAGTAATCCAGTAGCCATTGTCACTCTATCACAATTACATCGTGCTTTTATGTGGCTGAAGGCAGCAGCAAGATTCTTGTTGTGATGTCTTATGGATAATTTCGTCAGTTGAGTAAATTTTTGCTGATATTTTTTTGTGAGAATATTTTTTAGCGGGAACGTTTTTCTTTTTATGGATCGTGGAAAAAACCGCAACACGGTACCTTCTAGTACGATTTAAAGTGATTTAATTCCATTATTTTGTCAGGGATAGTCGATTGGGAGATTGAGAGCAAAGGCTGACCTTGTTCAAAGTTGGGGTGGTCGGGGGGCGGGGAGGAGGGAGCGATGCGAAGGAGCCTTCTCCAGGCTCCAAAAGCTGAAAAGGGGTTTGGAGTAAAGCATATTCGGCTTCGGGCATTACATTTCGAGCAAACGCGACACGAACCCTGACTCCACGCGCAGATGCACCCACCGCTGCCTTTAATTACAGTTAGTTTTGGATTTGCGAAAGGACCGACAGCTTCTTTAGCTTTTTCCTGCGAAAGACTCTGTGTTCAACATCAAATCTTCATCAAAGTACTGTTTTACGACGCTTGAGTGTTCGGGGTTAGGAGATTGTGGAGTACATATATTTTCCTTATTCTTCGACCACGCTCTTTCTTTCACATCAGGCTTAGATGACGGAATTTGACAAAAAAGAATGGCTGATTTAAATATATCCTCCCTGAGTATTAAACCTTTGTTGGTATATGTGCCACCCGAGGAAAGGTAGGGTATGGATTTTGAGCTGTACGATTGCTACGTTATTTCTTGAAACATAAAAGAGAGAAAAAGGAACTAATTTTATTGGACTTGATGGCTCTGTTTGACACTCTCACAGGGTTCCTGTTTAAGAAAACCACCAGCGTCGATCGCCAGGTGTTGCTAAAGCCAATGGTGATCAGAAGAACTTTGATCTGAAAATTGTCCTGCCTGCGGGCGACACAAACAAAACATAAAGTTCTCCGCGAAATACTCTGTCTGTCCTTTTATTTATTACTGGTGGACTGATCCTGATGAGGCACTCTAAGAAGCAGAATCGACTTAAAATGTTCACAGATTGACCTTTGGGTTTTGACTCTTAATACTAGGTCAATTTGTTCTAAAAAGTGAAAGAACACTACAATACAGAAAACCTGTTTAGCACATTATTTTTTTTTAATAGTAACTAAAAATGTAACAGATCAGAAGTTTATAGTGATACATTTGTATAGTCTGCCCGCGTTCGTTTTCCTGTTCAGTCTTACTGAAAAGCGAGTGAGTGAAGTGACCAAACCCACCGCATTACATTCTTCCATTTATCTTCCTCTACTCTTCGACGAGTCGATGGTTTTGCCCACCAGTCACAATACTCCCGTCCCCCTCCGCCGCCTCACCCCCAGCCCAATTGCGATCGATGGGAAAAGAGTCGAAAAGCCTGAAAAGAGTCGGGGTCGCTGCGGTAATAAGCCAAATTATAAATCTGTACAGACTACAAGCGCAGCTGACATAATGTACTCTACACACAGGCCTTATTGTAGCTTATTTTCTCTTACGGCCAAATCGGTTTGATGAGAAATCTGGCATTATTCTCGGGCAGCATGGAACTGATCGCAGAAGCTTGACTCGTGCCACCAGAGGTATTTTTTTTCCCTTTCTTCCGCACTTCGCTCGCGATCGCGGTGTTTTTTTAGACCTTGGAATCCAAAAGGTTTCAAGG